GGCGTCAGAGGGGTGGGGGTACTGGTCCCTGCACCTACGTTCTTCGTTCCGGCGACCGCGCGGGTGAGCAGTGTGGGGGTGCCCACGCCACCCAGCGCTGCTTTGGCCGCCTGACGGACGCTTGGCGTCGGCAGTTCCCTGGGGCTAGTGAGATCCCTCGCTGGGATGAGCTTCTAAGGGCTGGTGTAGCGATCTTTGATCTTGATTTTGATGCTATCCTTGCTGCTATGTATGTTGTGGATTATAGTGAGGAGAATGAGGGTTACCGTTGTTTCCAGCCCGACCCGGGCATTGGTACTGCTGCGCTAGGTGCTTGTGAGGCTGCTGCTCTAGGTGCCAGTGCGTCTGTGCTCTCAGGTACTGGTGAGACTGCGCTCTCAGGTACTGCGTCGTCCTCGTCCTCCCTCACTTTCACACTTGACTCCGGAGCTTCTCGCTCCTTCTTTCGAGACCGCACTACCCTTACGCCGCTCGGCCGGCCGGTTGCGGTCTCCCTTGCTGACCCCTCTGGGGGTCCTGTCCTATCTCACTTCTCCACTGTCCTCGCGTGTCCGGCTGCCCCTTCGGGCACCCTGTCGGGTCTGTACCTTCCCTCGTTCTCTACGAACTTGGTGAGTGGAGCGGACCTGCAGGATGTGGGGGTTCACCAGTTCACTCCTGCGAGTCAGCGGGTGACCCACTGCACGGAGGCACGCACAGGCCGACACCTGGCCACGTTCTCGCGTCGGCCGGGGTCGAGTCTCTACACCCTGACCGTTGAGTCTCCTCCTGTCCCTGCGTCTGGTCAGGTGGCTGCGTCGGGTCAGGTGCTTGCTGCTGCGTCCCGGTCAGGTCCTGAGTCTGCCCCCTGTTCTTGTCGCCTCCTGTCTCACGAGACTCTCCCGTGGCACCACCGTCTTGGCCACCCCTCCTTGCCCCGTCTTCGGAGCATGGCTTCCCGTGTCCTTGTCTCTGGTCTTCCCCAGTCTCTCCCTCCTCTCCCCTCCGGGCCAGGACCTTCCTGTGTCCCCTGTGTCGAGGGCCGCCTCCGGGCTACTCCTCACTCCTCCCACTTCCCCCCGACAGAGGCTCCCCTGCAGACGCTTCACATGGATGTGTGGGGCCCAGCCCCCGTCCGTGGGCAGGGTTACGAGCGCTACTTCCTGTTGGTGGTTGACGACTACTCGCGTTACACCACAGTCCTCCCCTTGCGCAGCAAGGGTGCGGTCACCGAGGTGCTGATCGACTGGATCCGCGAGGCTCGTCTCCAGCTCAGGAAGAGCTTCGGCTCGGACTTTCCTGTTCTGCGTCTGCACTCGGACAGAGGCGGAGAGTTCTCTTCTCGCCTTCTGCGGGACTACTGTCGTGCACGGGGGATCCGCCAGACCTTCACGCTTCCGGACTCACCACAGCAAAATGGGATTGCTGAGCGCCGCATTGGCATGGTCATGGATGTCGCTCGTACGTCCATGATGCATGCGGCTGCCCCCCATTTTCTGTGGCCGTTTGCGGTGAGGTACGCGGCGCATCAGCTCAACCTTCACCCCCGGGTCTCTCGGCCTGCGATGTCCCCAGCCTTGCTGTGGACGGGGAAGGTTGGCGATGCGTCTGTGTTCCGTGTTTGGGGATCTCGGGCGTTTGTCCGCGACTTGTCTGCGGACAAGCTGTCCCCTCGTGCTGCTCCCTGTGTCTTCCTTGGCTTCCCCACTGACGCCCCAGGGTGGCAGTTTTACCACCCCTCCTCTCGTCGTGTTCTGTCCTCCCAGGACGTCACGTTCGACGAGTCAGTCCCCTTCTACCGTCTCTTCCCCTACCGCACTCCTTCCCTCCCACCTCCCCCGGACTTCCTTGTGCCGGTTCCCCCCCCGGTAGACCCCCTCCCCCCTCAGGTTCCTGCCCCCTCAGGTGTGTCCCAGGTAGACGCCGTTGACCCGGTCGAGGTTACTGGTGACTCTGGTGCTGCTGCGGGTGCTGAGCCTGGGGGTGCTGACTCTGGGGTTGCTGTGCGCGGGGGTGCTGAGCCTGGGGGTGCTACTGCTGGGGGTGCTGGGCCTGAGGGGGCTACTGCGGAGGGTGCGGAGCCTGGGGGTGCTGAGCCGGGGGGTGCTGTGCCTGGAGGTGCTGGGTCTGGGGGTGCTGGGTCGGGAGCTGCTGAGCCTGAGGGTGCTGAGCTGGGAGCTGCTGAGTCTGGGGGTGCTGCGTCTGGAGCTGCTGAGCCTGAGGTTTCTCCTGCTGCTGCGTCTCGCCGGGAGCCCCTCTCTCCACAGGAGCTGCGCGAGTGGTTCGCTCGCCGCTAAAGGCGTGCTGCTGAGTCTGGAGGTGCTGCTGGAGCTGGAGCTGGAGCTTCTTCGACCGTCGAGGGTGCGGGTGCTGCCGGTCCCGGAGCTGCTGGACCTGCGGGTCCTCCTGGAGCTGGAGCTGCTGAGGGCGTTGGTGCTGAGCCTACTGCTGTTGGTCCTGCCGCTGGAGGTGTGGGTGGCGCTGGTGCTGTCGCTGAGGGTGCTGGTGCTGTCCCTGCTGCGTCTGGAGCTGCCGCGCGGCCTCGGCCGTACTTCGTTCCGCTCCTGCAGCAGGTTCTTGGTCTTTCTCCTCCAGTAGAGGGTCCACCGCCTGTCCAGTCGCAGTCCCTGCAGGAGCCTTCCTCTCCACTGCCTACTCCCTCTCCTTACACTGGTCCTACTGGAGGTCTTGCTGAGCGTCGTGAGCCTGCGTCTCGTCCCGCGTCGCCTGTTCGTGCTGCTCGCGCTAGTGGTCGCAGTTCGCGTCAGCGTCCTCCTCCTGTCCCTGGCACGCACCGGATGTCTTTGCGTCCGTCCACTGCTCCTCTGCGTGCCCCTTTGCCTTCTCCTCCTGAGTCCTCTCTTTCTGCGCTTGCCGACCCTGAGTCGGACTCTCTTCGTGCTGCCAGTCCTACTGTCACGCGTCTGCTTGCTACTGTCGTCACTGACCCCTCTTTTGAGTCCACTGCTGCGTCTGCTCTAGTCACTGAGCTCGTCGACTTTGCTGCTCGCTGTCGTCTCGACTACGCTGCTAGTCTTGTTGCTGAGTCTGCGTCTGTCTGTCCTCCGTCCGTCGGGGGTGAGTGTGCTCTTGGCACGGACGTCCTAGAGGACAGGCAGGAGGAGTTACATTGTCTAGCGGCTGCTTCACCTCATCTCGCGTCTGTACTGCTTGCCCCTGAGGGAGACCCGGATGCACTAGACATCCCGACTCCGCGTTCTTACGCGGAGGCCGTAGAGGGTCCCTACTCCTCTCAGTGGCAGGCAGCTATGGATGCAGAGATGGCTTCCTGGAAGTCCACAGGCACCTACATTGACGCGGTTCCCCCTCCTGGGGCGAACATCGTCAGTGGCATGTGGATCTTCAGGGTGAAGCGGCCACCGGGCTCTCCACCTGTCTTCAAGGCACGGTACGTTGCTCGTGGCTTCAGTCAGCGGCAGGGAGTTGACTACTTTCAGACCTTCTCTCCCACCCCGAAGATGACTACTCTTCGGGTGCTACTGCACATAGCCGCTCATCGCGACTACGAGCTTCACTCTCTCGACTTCAGCACTGCGTTCTTGCAGGGTAGCCTGCACGAGGAGATCTGGCTTCGCCGTCCACCTGGCTTCACTGGGACTTTCCCTCCTGGCACCCAGTGGAGCCTCCGACGGCCAGTCTACGGTCTCCGCCAGGCACCGCGTGAGTGGCACGACACACTGAGGACTACGCTTGCGGCTCTTGGGTTTGCTCCTTCTACTGCTGACCCGTCGCTGTTTCTTCGCACCGACACTTCCCTGCCGCCGTTCTACATCCTCGTGTACGTCGACGACTTGGTCTTTGCCACAGCGGACACTGCTGGACTCGCCTACGTGAAGTCCGAGCTGCTGAAGAGACACACGTGTACAGACCTGGGTGAACTGCGCAGCTACCTTGGCTTGCAGATCACTCGAGACAGAGCACGCCGCACCATTACCTTGACTCAGTCACACATGGTGCAGCAGGTCCTTCAGCGCTTCGGCTTTACGTACTCCTCGCCTCAGGCCACTCCTCTGCCTACTCGCCACTCACTCTCAGCTCTTCCTTCGGATGAGTCCGTAGAGTCGAGTGGTCCGTATGCAGAGCTTGTTGGCTGCCTCATGTACCTGATGACCTGCACACGAACTGACCTTGCATACCCTCTGAGCATTCTTGCACGCTATGTTGCTCCTGGGAGACACAGACCAGAGCACATGGCTGCAGCGAAGAGGGTATTGCGCTACCTGTGCAGTACGTCGGGCATGGGGCTAGTGCTTGGAGGGCGGAGTCCAGTGGTCCTTACCGGCCACGCGGACGCTTCTTGGGCTGACGACCAGGCTACGCAGCGGTCGTCACAGGGTTACACCTTCAGCCTTGGTTCCGGCTCTGTCTCGTGGCGGTCTACTCGCTCGTCTTCGGTTCTCGGCTCCAGTTGTGAGGCTGAGATCTACGCCGGGGCCATGGCTGCACAGGAGCTTCGCTGGCTCACCTACCTGCTGACTGACCTTGGAGAGCCGCCTCGTTCTCCTCCAGTGCTGTACGTAGACAACAAGGCCATGCTGGCCTTGTGTCGAGAGCAGCGCTTGGAGCACAGAACGAAGCACATTGCTCTCCGCTACTTCCTTGCTCGTGAGCTGCAGCAGCGTGGTCAGTTGCGACTTGCGTACGTGGCCTCTGAGGGCAACACTGCTGATGTGTTCACCAAGGCACTCGCGCCTTGTGACCATCAGCGCTTTTGCACCCAGCTGGGTCTTGTACCCGTCTTGTGCTCGGACTGTGTGGTGACTTTGTGATCCACCCTGAGCTTGCTTTGCTTTGCTTTGCTTGACTGGTCTTGTGACCCCTTGTTCTCCCCCACTTTGCCTTTGGGGGTGTGTCAGAGTATTATAGCTGATAAATGTTTGTAGGCCATAGTGGGGTAGCACATATGGGGTACAGGGTTTCTAGGGTTGCATTTTGTACCCAATCTTTCCTTAGTCATTCCATTCCTGTTCACTTATTCTCACAGTAAGAGTGGTGCGGTCTCAAAAGAAGGAGCGGGACGCACCGAAGTCAAGGGTGAAGGTGTCTAAGGCCTGAGCCGACGTAGTACCTGAGAGAGCAGACTCACTAGCACCTGGGGCAGCAGACGCACTAGCACCTGGGGCAGCAAACGCACTAGCACCTAGAGCAGTAGCCTCACCAGCACCTAGAGCAGTGGCCTCAATGCCGGGGTCAGGCGGTACACACAGGTAACAGTCACCCTCAACCCTAGTAGTAACAGAATACATGGCAGCAAGGATAGCATCATAGTCAAGATCAAAGATGGCAACCCCCGCCCTAGACAGATCTCCCCAGCGAGGGATCCCTGACGCCTCAGGGAACTGGCGACGCCACGCGTCCGTTAGGCGATCGAAGCAGCGCTGGGTGGAGTGCGCCCCCCTGCACTGCTCACCAGCTCGGTCGCCGGTACGGAAGACGTAAGTGCAGGGACCAGTACCCCCACCGCGCTGACGCGTAGCGTACCACTCACGAAGCTGCTGAGGGGACAGAGTCACACCACTCCGCTGCTGCTGGCGCGGACCACCACCTGACCTACTCCTCTGCGCAGAGTCGCGACCCGCTCCACTACCGCCGCCGTCGCCGCCTCCGCTGCCTCCTCCACCTCCGCCCCCTTCGCCACCTCCGCCGCCTCCGCTCCCTCCGCCACCACCGCCGCCTCCTCCGCCTCCACCGCTGCCGCCGCCGCCACCACCCCCGCCACCACTCCCACCAGCACCCCCACCCCCTCCAGTGCCTCCACCACCACCTCCACCGCCCCCGCCAGCCCCTCCAGTGCCCTTGCCCCCCTTGCCCTTGCCGGTGCGGCGTCTCCCGCTAGGGGCAGACGCAGCGTTGACCGACTCGAAACCAACGAGGTCGGCCGCAGCAGTAGAAGCAACAGAGCAATAGGGGGGAGGGGGAACACCCCTCAAAGACGGGGGTGCGAGGGTCAGCACGAGAGGCTCCTACAGTGACTATGCTCTTCTATGCTGTTAGGAGGCCCTTCTCGAGGAGGTCAACGGTGAGAGTGATGGGGCAAACTGAGAGGAAGTGGTCCCTGACTACGCGGAGAGAGTCAGGGAGCCGGGTGACTATGTAGTAGAGGGTGATGTACATGGGGGGGGGGGTTCTTGGCGCAAAACTCAGCAGAAAGCGCAGCGCGGTAGCGAGTGTCACTAGTGCGGAGGTGCGTAATGAGGTCAACGACTGTGGGAAAGGTAGCAAGGTCAGGGAAGAGTTACGGTAGCATGAGGCGGCTCAGTGCAGCAGTGGCAGGGGAAGAGTAGCGTGCAACTACAGCGTCGTACAAGGTCTGAGCACTGTTGTACTGGCTAAAGTGTGCACGCTCAGTGGTCGGTAAGTGGCGACGCACAGCAAGACGAGCAGCAGCATCGCGTGTGGCCCACTGTGAGCGAACAGTGCTGTCACCAGTAGCAGGCGGGGCAGGGGAGGCACCAGAGGTGAGGTCGAACAGAGAGAGGCCGTCTGCCATATTGCACTAGAGGAACAGCTGGAGGTCATCGACCCAGACCTCAAAGTCAACGGCACGGCCCTCAGCATCAAAAGTAAGGACGCTGGAAGTACCCATGACTGCACTACCCTAGTAGGGAGTGAGCTCACCAGTAGGAATAGCAGGGGATTGACAGTAGGGCGGCTCGGCGGCTGGGCGGCTCGGCTGCTGGGCGGCTCGGCTGCTGGGCGGCTCGGCGGCTTGGCTGGTGGGCGGCTTGGCTGCTTGGCGGCTCAGCTGCTAGGCGGCTCGGCTGCTGGGCGGCTCAGCTGCTCGGCAGGTGGGCGGCTCGGCTGCTGGGCGGCTCGGCTGCAAGGCGGCGACGGGGCCGCAGGTGACGGCGACGGGGCCGCAGGTGGCGGCGACAGGGCCGCAGAGGGGCCGTAAGGGGCCGCAACGGGGCCGGAGAGGGGCCGCAAGGGGCCTAGACGGGGCCGTAGAGGGGCCGCACGGGGCCTAGACGGGGCCGCAGAGGGGCCGCAAGGGGCCTAGACGGGGCCGCAGAGGGGCCACACGGGGCCTAAACATGGCCGCAACGGGGCCGTAAGGGACCTAGACGGGGCGGCGACGAGGCCGTAAGGGGCCATAAGGGCGGCGCGAGGGGCCGTGGAGGGCGGCGCGAGGGGCCGTAAAGGGCAGCGCGAGGGGCCGTAAGGGCAACTTAAGGGGCCGTGAGAGGGGCCGCTAAAGGCGACGTGAAAGGGCCGTGAGAGGGCGCGATGGTAGGGAGGGCACACAGAGCGCGACTCGGGCAGGAGCGAAGTGCGCTTTGGGCAAGAAAAAAATAATCGTGGTGGGCCCTAGGAATCTTTCCCACTAGGGAACCTGCTCGATACCATGATAAGAAACGAGGAATGAGTGCCATAGAGCAGAATGAGGAGTACAAGTAGTAAACCCTAAAGTGTTGCACCCCATATGAATTGCCCCACTACAGCCTACACAGACTATAGCATATATGCCTGACACGCGGCCCCTCCCGGCCCCTTCGCGCCGACGACGCTCTGGGGACACAGCATGACTGAGGGGAGAACGACGAGTCCACAGGGACGAGGACAAGGACTCAACAGGGGGAACAGGAGGGGACGGTAGGGGACCACGAACAAAGCGTGCAGGTGCTGGGTAGGGGAGGTCACGTAGTCGCAGTGGCTGCTGCTCCGCCTCCTCTGGCGTCTGCTGCAACGGTACCGGCCCCTGCTGCTGCTCCTGGGGCTCCGTGTCTGCCCTCTCCTACTGCGACTGCAGCTGCACCCGCTGCTGCGACCGGGACTCCTGTGCTACCCTCTCCTGCTGCGGCCGTGACTCCTCCTCTACTCTCTCCTGCTGGGTCTGTAACTGCACCTGTTGCTGCGGGTGGGACTGCTGCTCTACCCTCTCGTGGTGCGGCCATGACTGGTCCTCTACTCTCTCCTGTTGTGTCTGTAACTGCACCTGCTGCTACAGGTGGGACTCCTGCTCTACCCTCTCCTGGTGCTGTCGTGACTCCTCCTCTACCCTCTCCTGCTGCGGCTGTGACTCCTCCTCTACTCTCTCCTGCTGGTGCTGCTGCTGCTGCTGGTGCTGCTACTGCTGCTCCTGCTGTTGTGCCCTCTCAAATCGTTCGTGCTCCTCCCTCTCCAACCTGAGGAGACACTGCTCACAAGTCAGAAAATGTACAGTGCGTGGTGTAGGCGCCACAGTGCTAGTGCCTCCAGCTCCAGCACCCCTCGAACCAGCACCTCCACCACCGATACCCCCGGGGCCTCCAGTACCTCCCGCAGGAACACCCCCAGGCTCCGCAGCAACCGGCCGCAGAGAAGAACGAGGAGGAAACTGCGGGACGGACGGGAAGCCAGGGGGTGAGGCGGGGTGAGGCCGCCAAGTCGAGGCTGCCGTGTCCTCTACAGGAGTGACCTCCACGCCCACAACCCCTGCATCCCCAGAGCCGACACCACCAGCTTCTGCAGCCCCAGTACCCTCACCCTCCGCAACTGCACCTCCCGCACCCCCAGACACGACAGGGACTGGACGCTGCGGGGGGGAAGACTGCGGAGTGACGTGCAACACACCTGACGGGGCAGGACGCGAGGAAGGGGGGGCTACCGGGGCGACCGGTGGGGGCTCAAGGGTGAGGAGCAGCGGGGGGGAAAAGGCCTCAGTACCTCGGTGGGGGCGACTCCTGTAGTAACAGACAGACTCATCGAACGTGACTTCCTGAGAAGCGAAGAACTGGTAGGTGACCGGGTCGTAGAACACCCAGCCGGAGGCGTCCAACGAGAAGCCAAGAAAGACGCAGGCCTGAGTGCGCGGAGACAACTTATTCACGCCACGGGCGCGAACGTGAGCCAGAGAACCCCAGACACGGAAGTTAGCTGCTACGCCTGGAGAACATGTCCAAAGGGAGACCGGCGTCACCCGTGGTCGTGCGTTACTGGGTCATAGGTTCAGCTGGTGCGCAGCGTAGCGGACTGCCTGAGGCCACAAAAACGGGGGGGCACCGGCATGGCACATGGGGGTCCGGGCAACCTCCATGACCAGGCCGATGCGTCGCTCGGCTACCCCGTTCTGCTGCGGTAAGGCTGGTAGCGTGTAAGACTGGATGATCCCCCGACCCTGACAGAACGTCTCCAGGCGAGTGGAAGAAAACTCACCACCAAGATCCGAGTGTCGGCAAAGCCCACACAGACCCTGGGCGCCACCCCACGCTAGTAGCCACGGCTCAAGGATGGTAGGCACGTCGGCCTTCCGTCGCAAGGGGAAGACCGTGGTGTAACGGGAGTAGTCGTCCACCACAATCAGGAAGTAGCGCTCCTAACGTGGCCCAAGGACCTGGGAGGGGCCCCAGACGTCCAAGTGCAGGGTCTGGAAGGGAGCCGTGGTGGGGGGGAACGAGGAGTGAGGGGCAGCGCGCTGCCGACCCTCGACGCAAAGAGTGCACAGCAACGCAGGCGAGCGGGGAAGCGGTGCAAGCAACTCTGGGAGACCTGAGACCAGACGGTAACGTGCCATCCTACTGAGACGCGGAAACGACGGGTGACCTAGACGGTGGTGCTAGAGGACCGACGGGTGGGTGAGGGAGCAACAGTCACACGACACAGCAGCTACCTGACCTGACCTGACCTGACCAAGTGTGGTGGTACCTAGTGTGTAGTGAGTACAGACCAGAGCCCTGTGAAAAGTGGCGAGAGGGGCCCTAGTGGTACCGACTGTGTAGGAGGCAACAGGCTCGTCGACTGGGAAAGTAGTGACTACACCTAAGTCGTGGAGGTGACTGACACCCACCAGGTTCCTAGAGAACGAGGGGGTGTAGTAACCTGTGAGGAACCCAGAGGGAGCCGCCGGACACGGGAGAGTGGTGGTGCTGCGGGCAACTACAGATCCCACAGAGGGGTCAGCCAAGGCAACAGTGACTGGAGAGCGCAATGGTGTGAGGTCAGTACAGTCGCGAAAGAAATAGCTGGACGCTCCAGAGTCTAGGGTGAAGGAAATCTGTGCAGTCTGTGAGGTCGCACCCGAGCCAGCTACAAAGGCTGGTAGACTAGTGGTAGTTGCAGCTCCTACACAAAGACCCTCAGAGGCGCCTGAACTGGAAACAATACACACACCAAGACTGGAAACACATGGCTCTACTCGTGCAGCCGAGAACGGTCCTAGACCAGGTAGGTGAGACTCAACTGGTGCAGTAGTGCGCTGGCGAAGTCGCAAGGGCCAGTGCGGTGTAATAGCGTGAGGACCAAAACGCTCACGGTGGAGGTCGTGGAGTCGACGGTAGCAGCTGGACACAGAGTGGTCAGGACTCCAATAGGTGGTGCCAGCACTAGGGTCTGTCAGGGCTCGGTACCCGCAGGGGCCGACGTCTCGCCCACTGCTAGCTGATGTTGAGGTACTAGGAAGGCTTGGGAGCCATAGCTAGTAGGTCGAGTAGTTGAGTTCGAGTGAGTTTGGGTGAGTCGAGAAGATTGCAACAAAAGGGTGGTTTGACTATAGAGCGAACAGTACAAATAGGCAAGAATGAAGAAAGGTGCACCACCAAACAGAAAGTTAGATGACTACAGTAGTCTACACTACAAGCAGTTACAAAACAATATATAGAATTATATATTATTCTGACAGCTGAGCCACTGCTGTGGGCTCCACCCTTAGGACCCGCAGGTTCCCCCTGCCGGGAGTGCTGCGGCTGGCCCTGCTGCTGTAGAACTCTAGTACACGCCATGTGAGCCTATGCTGCTGCTGGTTCTGCTGGGGGCAGCCTAAGCTGCTACTGGTGTGCTGGGGGCAGCCTATGCTGCTGCTGGTTCTGCTGGGGGCAGCCTAAGCTGCAACTGGTGCACTAGGGGCAGCCTAAGCTGCTGATGGTGCGCTGGCGGTAGCCTAAGCTGCTGATGGTGCGCTGGCGGTAGCCTAAGCTGCTGCTCGAGCGCTGGGGCAGCCTATGCTGCTTCTGGTTTTACTGGGGGCAGCCTAAACTGCTGCTACTGGTTTTACTGGGGGCAGCTTAAACTGCTGCTACTGGTGCTGCTAGAGGCGAGTTTCAGCTCTTGAGGCGGAGGATTCAGGTCATGGGGGGGCAGCTCTGACTGGTATAGGTGGGACAGCGCGTGCGGTTTGGTGTGGTTCTATGCAATTCAATGCGGTTCCGCGCGATTCTGTGCGGTTATGTGCGGTTCTGTGCAGTTCTGCGGGGTGGAGAGTACCGTGTGGGGCAGCCGATTCTGGGTGAGGTGACTGGAACAGGTGGGGCAACAGCTTTGGCTGGAACGGGTGGGGCAGCGGGTGCGGTTCTGTGCGGTTCTGTGCAATTCAGTGCGGTTCTGCGCGGTTCTGTGCGGTTCTATGCGGTTCTGCGGGGTGGAGAGTACCGGGTGGGGAGGCTGATTTCGGGTGAGGTGACTAGGACGGGTGGGGCAAATGCTCTGGCTGGAACGGGTGGGGCAGCAGGTGCGGTTCTGTGCGGTTCGGTGCAATTCAGTCCGATTTCTGGTATGGCGGCGGATTTCTGCTCGTGG